TATAGGGGGTGCACTCTATAGGGGATGCAGGGAGTGTGGGGTGCCCTCTAGAGGGGAAGTAGCATCTGTGGGGTGTGCCCTATAGGGGATGTACCCTATAGGGGATGCAGGGCATGTGGGGTGTGCTCTATAGGGGATGCATTATCTGTGGGGTGTCATCTATAGGGGATGTACCCTATAGAGGACGCAGCATCTGTGGAGTGTCCTCTATAGGGGACATACCCTATAGCGGACGCAGAGAATGTGGGGCATAATCTATAAGGGGTGCACTCTATAGGGGGTGAACTCTATAGGGGTTGCGTGGCGTGTGGGGTGTCCTCTATAGGGGACACTGAGTCTGGGGGTGTATTCTATAGGGGGTGCAGAATATGTGGGGTGTAATCTATAGGGGCTGTGCTCTGAGGTGGTACAGGGCATATGGGGTGTGCCCTATAGGGGGCGTACCCTATAGGGGCTGCAGGGCATGTGGGGTGTAATCTATAGGGGATGTATTGTGTGTGTGTGTGTGTGCGTGTGTACACGCAGTGGGGCGTGCTCTATAGGGGACGCAGGGCATGTGGGGTCTCCCCTATAGGGGACGTATCCTATAGGGGACGCAGAGAATGTGGGATATAATCTATAGGGGGTGCACTCTATAGGGGATGCAGGGAGTGTGGGGTGCCCTCTAGAGGGGAAGTAGCATCTGTGGGGTGTGCCCTATAGGGGATGTACCCTATAGGGGATGCAGGGCATGTGGGGTGTGCTCTATAGGGGATGCATTATCTGTGGGGTGTCATCTATAGGGGATGTACCCTATAGAGGACGCAGCATCTGTGGAGTGTCCTCTATAGGGGACATACCCTATAGCGGACGCAGAGAATGTGGGGCATAATCTATAAGGGGTGCACTCTATAGGGGGTGAACTCTATAGGGGTTGCGTGGCGTGTGGGGTGTCCTCTATAGGGGACACTGAGTCTGGGGGTGTATTCTATAGGGGGTGCAGAATATGTGGGGTGTAATCTATAGGGGCTGTGCTCTGAGGTGGTACAGGGCATATGGGGTGTGCCCTATAGGGGGCGTACCCTATAGGGGCTGCAGGGCATGTGGGGTGTAATCTATAGGGGATGTATTCTATAGGGGATGCAGCATCTGTGGGGTGTAATCTATAGGGCATGTACTCTATAGGGGATGCAGGGCATGTGGGGTGTGCTCTATAGGGGAAGCAGCATGTGTGGGGTGTACTCTATAGGGAACCTACCCTATAGGGGATGCATCATCTGTGGGGTGTGCTATAGGGGATGTAGCCTATAGGGGATGCAGCATCTGTGGGGTGTGCTCTATAGGGGACACAGCACCTGCGGGGTGTGCTCTATAGGGGACGTACCCTGTACCCTATAGGGGATGCAGGGCGTGTGGGGTGAGCCCTATAGGGGTGTGTTATAGGGGATGTAGCCTATAGGGGACACAGGATCTGTGGGCTGTGCTCTATAGGGGACACAGCATCTGTGGGGTGTCCTCTATAGGGGACCTACCCTATAGGGCATGCGGGGCATGTGGGGTGTGCTCTATAGGGGACGCAGCATCTGTGGGGTGTGCTATAGGGGATGTAGCCTATAGGGGCCACAGGATCTGTGGGCTGTGCTCTATAGGGGATGCAACATCTGTGGGGTGTCTTCTATAGGGGAAGTAGCATCTGTGGGGTGTCCCTTTTAGGAGATGTACCCTATAGGGGATGCAGGGCATGTGGGGTCTCCCCTATAGGGGATGTACTCTATAGGGGATGCAGAGAATGTGGGGCATCATCTATAGGGGATGTACCCTATAGGGGATGCAGGGCGTGTGGGGTGTCCTCTATAGGGGAAGTAGCATCTGTGGGGTGTCCCCTATAGGAGACGTCCCCTATAGGGGATGCAGGGCATGTGGGGAGTGATCTATAGGGGATGCATCATCTGTGGGGTGTGCTCTATAGGGGATGTACCCTATAGGGCATGCGGGGCATGTGGGGTGCCCTCTATAGGGGACGCAGCATCTGTGGGGTGTCGTCTATAGGGGACGTACCCTATAGGGGATGCATCATCTGTGGGGTGTGGTCTATAGGGGATGTACCCTATAGGGGATGTGGGGCATGTGGGGTGTCCTCTATAGGGGAAGGAGCATCTGTGGAGTGTCCTCTATAGGAGACGTACCCTATAGGTGATACATGGCATGTGGGGTCTCCCCTATAGGGGACGTACTCTATAGGGGATGCAGGGCATGTGGGGTGTCTTCTATAGGGGACGTACTCTATAGGGGACGCAGAGAATGTGGGGCATAATCTATAGGTAGTGCACTCTATAGGGGATGCAGGGCATGTGGGGTGTCCCCTATAGGCGACGTACTCTATAGGGGATGCGGAGAATGTGGGGCGTAATCTATAGGGGACGTACCCTATAGGGGACGCAGGACGTGTGGGGTGCTCTCTATAGGGGAAGTAGCATATATGGGGTGTCCCTTATAGGGGACGCACCCTATAGGGGATGCAGGGTATGTGGGGTCTCCCCTATAGGGGACGTACTCTATAGGGGACGCAGAGAATGTGGGGCATAATCTATAAGGGGTGCACTCTATAGGGGGTGAACTCTATAGGGGTTGCGTGGCATGTGGGGTGTCCTCTATAGGGGAAGTAGCATCTGTGGGGTGTCCCCTATAGGAGACGTCCCCTATAGGGGATGCAGGGCATGTGGGGAGTGATCTATAGGGGATGCATCATCTGTGGGGTGTGCTCTATAGGGGACGTACCCTATAGGGGACGCAGAGAATGTGGGGCATAATCTATAAGGGGTGCACTCTATAGGGGCTGAACTCTATAGGGGTTGCGTGGCATGTGGGGTGCCTTCTATAGGGGAAGTAGCATCTGTGGGGTGTCCCCTATAGGAGACGTCCCCTATAGGGGATACAGGGCATGTGGGGAGTGATCTATAGGGGATGCATCCTCTGTGGGGTGTGCTCTATAGGGGATGTACCCTATAGAGGATGCAGGGCATGTGGGGTGTCCTCTATAGGGGACATACCCTATAGCGGACGCAGAGAATGTGGGGCATAATCTATAAGGGGTGCACTCTATAGGGGCTGAACTCTATAGGGGTTGCGTGGCATGTGGGGTGCCTTCTATAGGGGAAGTAGCATCTGTGGGGTGTCCCCTATAGGAGACGTGCCCTATAGGGGATGCAGGGCATGTGGGGTGTCCCCTATAGGCGACGTACTCTATAGGGGATGCGGAGAATGTGGGGCGTAATCTATAGGGGACGTACCCTATAGGGGACGCAGGACGTGTGGGGTGCTCTCTATAGGGGAAGTAGCATATATGGGGTGTCCCTTATAGGGGACGCACCCTATAGGGGATGCAGGGTATGTGGGGTCTCCCCTATAGGGGACGTACTCTATAGGGGACGCAGGGAGTGTGGGGTGCCCTCTATAGGGGAATTAACATCTGTGGGGTGTCTTCTATAGGGGAAGTAGCATGTGTGGGGTGTCCTCTATAGGGACATACCCTATAGGGGATGCAGGGCATGTGGGGTGTCTTCTATAGGGGACGTACTCTATAGGGGACGCAGGGAGTGTGGGGTGCCCTCTATAGGGGAATTAACATCTGTGGGGTGTCTTCTATAGGGGAAGTAGCATGTGTGGGGTGTCCTCTATAGGGACATACCCTATAGGGGATGCAGGGCATGTGGGATGTGCTCTATAGGGGATGATGCACCCTATAGGGGACTCAGGGCATGGGAGGTGTCCTCTATAGGGGATGCAGCATGTGTGGGGTGTCCTCTATAGGGGATGTACCCTATAGGGGATGCAGGGCATGTGGGGTGTGCTCTATAGGGGATGTAGCCTATAGGAGATGCAGGGCATGTGGGGTGTGTTCTATAGGGGACCTACCCTATAGGGGATGCGGGGCATGTGGGGTGTGCTCTATAGGGGATGCAGCGTCTGTCGTGTGCTATAGGGGATGTAGCCTATAGGGGACACAGCATCTGTGGGCTGTGCTCTATAGGGGATGATGCACCCTATAGGGGACTCAGGGCATGGGAGGTGTCCTCTATAGGGGATGCAGCATGTGTGGGGTGTCCTCTATAGGGGATGTACCCTATAGGGGATGCAGGGCATGTGGGGTGTCTTCTATAGGGGACATACCCTATAGGGGATGCGGGGCATGTGGGGTGTCCTCTATAGGGGACATACTCTATAGGGGATGCATCATCTGTGGGCTGTGCTCTATAGGGGACGCAGCATCTGTGGGGTGTGCTCTATAGGGGATGTAGCCTATAGGAGATGCAGGGCATATGGGGTGTGCTCTATAGGGGACGTACCCTATAGGGGATGCGGGGCATGTGGGGTGTCCTCTATAGGGGACATACTCTATAGGGGACGCATCATCTGTGGGGTGTGCTCTATAGGGGACGTACCCTATAGGGGATGCAGAGAATGTGGGGTATAATCTATAGGGGGTGCACTCTATAGGGGATGCAGGGTGTGTGGGGTGTGCTCTATAGGGGACATACCCTATAGGGGATGCAGGGCATGTGGGGTGTCCTCTATAGGGGAAGTAGCATCTGTGGGGTGTGCTCTATAGGGGACGTAGCCTATAGGGGATGCAGGGTATGTGGGGTGTGCTCTATAGGGGACGCAGCATCTGTGGGGTGTCCTCTATAGGGGACCTACCCTATAGGGGCCACAGCATCTGTGGGGTGTCCTCTATAGGGGACGTACCCTATAGGGGATGCGGGGCATGTGGGGTGTGCCCTATAGGCTCCCCCCCATAAGTGTGGGGCTGTCTCCATCCCCTATAGATGCTGCTGCTGCTGCTGCTGCTGGTGGCGC